CCCGTGGTGCATTCGCATTTAAACAGGGATGGTATGTAATACTCCGCGCCTTGAGGGTTTATATAGGTAGAAACACAGAAAGGAGGTAAAGTTCGGTAGAGGGGATGTGGAAGGAAAGCTGATATGACATGAACTTAGATAGGGGGAAAGGATGAGAGGAAGGTTATTGGTTAAGAGAAAGAACGAGAGAGGAAGGCAAATTGATGTAATGAGAATAGGAGAGGAAGGTAAATAGGAACAAAGAATGAGGTCCTGAGCACCACCTTTCCATTTCAGCTTGCTCTTGTCGACGCGGGCGACACAGCAGAGATGCAGGCCGCCCTCGCCGACCTCTCGGCTGATGCCCTCGGAGAATTCCTCGGTAAGAATAAAGCAGCGCAATCAAAGAGCTGCCCCTTCCCGTCCGTGCTTGGGACGCGTCTCTCCATGGAGGAGGCACGTCCTGGTGTAAAAGGGATCGCCCAGAGGTCCTTGCAGGAGGCAGGTCCCGTAACAGGGATCGCTTAGGAAGTCTGGCGGCCACGAACAATCACGGATTTAGTCTGTGTATGTAATGTATAGGTCGTTTCGAGTGCTGTACAGTTCAAGAGCTAACGCCCGTTGCCGTTCCGCAGACGAGTGTCCGCTGCACCTGGCCAGCCGGAGAGGCCACGGAGAGGCGGTGGAGGCGCTGCTGGCTGCGGGAGCCGACCCCAACGGCCAGGCCGCCTTTGGTAAGGAAACCAAGCTTTGGCTTTGCCGTTTCTGGTATTTTTCCTTACCGTTTTACTGTTACTGCATTCATTTCACAATTACTTTTCTCTCTCTTCCGCTCGTCCTTCCTCCTTTCTCTTTCATCTTATCTCCTTTTTCTATTTCTTCTCCTCTTTTGCATTATATTCCTTCTTTCAGTCTCTCCATCCTTCCGTTTTTTCTCTTCTCCCATTCCCACTGTTCCTTCTCATTCTCTCTCCTCCTTCCATTATCTCTTTTCTTTCCGCCTTTATCTCTTCTTCTTCTTCCATCCTTGCTCTTTTTTCTTTTGTTTTCTTTCACTCCTTTTCCCTTTCTCTCCCTCTCCTCTCTTCCATTTTCCCTTTTCCCTCCTGCCATTCTCTCTCTTACATTTCTTCCTTCTTCCAGTCCCTCTCTTCTATAATCTCCTCGTTTTCTATTCGTTCTTTTCATTCCTCTAGTCACTCTTCCTCTTCATTCTTCCGTTCTCCCTTTTCTTCCCCTATTCTCTCGCTTACTCTTCGTGTTTTCCATTTTCCTTCAGTTCTTTTTCTTCCTACCATTCCTTCTATTCTGTCTCTTCATTCTTATTTTCTCCTTTCCTTCTCTCCCATCCCCAGTCCACCATTTTCTTCAAGTCCCTCCTCTCCACCCCCTCAGTTTCTTCTCTTCCTCCATTCTTCTTGCTCTCCTCTTCCCTCTCTGTCTCCTCTCGTCCATCTTTTTCTCTTCTTCTCTTTCTCTCTACTTCCTCCTTTTCGCTTCCTCTCTCTCCTTTTCCTCCCAGCTTCTCCCTCCACACATTTTCTCTCTCTTCCTTTATCTGTTCTCTTCCTCCTTACTCTCTCTCCTTTTCCTGGTTCTTTTTCCTCTCTTGTTCCTCCTCCTTTCTCCTCTCTTGTTCCGCTTCCTCTTTTCCCTTCTTCTCTCCTCTCTTGTTCCTCTTCCTTTTCTTCCCTTCCTCTTGTTCCTCTTCCTCTTCTTCCCTTCTTCTCTCCTCTCTTGTTCCTATTCCTCTTCTTCTCTTCTTCTCTCCTCTCTTGTTCCTCTTCCTCTTCTTCTCTTCCTCTCTCCGCTCTTGTTCCTATTCCTCTTCTTCTCTTCTTCTCTCTTCTCTTGTTCCTCTTCCTCTTGTTCCCTTCCTCTTGTTTCTCTTCCTCTTCCTTCTTGTTCTTCGTCCTCCTCTCCCTTTCTCTCTGTGTCTACGCCCACCCTTCTCTATCGATGCCTACTGCTTTTATTTTAGTCTGAATCTCATTCTAATTATTTAATTAACATTTTCATCATTCTAATAATTCTGCTCATTTTAATTACCATCATGATTCCCATTCTTTCATCTTCACTTCGAGTCACTATAATTTTTATTTCTGTAATAGTTCATTGCCATTCTTGTTACAGTAATCACTTCTTTCATGAAATTCAAATTCAAAATACTTTATTCCAGTGGTTACAATGGTTAGTCTTATTACATAGAAAGTGATTTTACAGTACATGTAAATATAAGATGGAATTAATGGCAGTACATACAAGTCTTGCCTATTCTTATATTTTGAAATCTGACGCCATTGGTGTTTCGTTTTGTTTATGCGTGGGGTAATGTGGTCATATTTATTTACGTTACCAAGTGCTACTCCCGCAGCAAAGTTTTGTATATTTCCTGAATTTGGCCATTGTTTGTTGTACCCCAAGTGTTTGAACAATAGTTCATTATACTGAGAACTAGTCTTTGTATAACAGATGCCCTAGTTTCAGCAGGGATCTTGTTTTTTTATACTGCTTAGGTGAATTAGTGTGCCCATTACTTTTCTATGGAATCGACATGGTTATCAAATGTTATGTGTACGCCCAGGTATTTTATGGAAGTGCTCGGTCTTATGCAGCCGTCTTCAAATTTTATGTTATATTTAATTTTGGCGATGTTTTGGCGATTACTTATGAAGATACATGGTTTTATCTGGATTTATCTTCAGGCCATTTGTGTCAAAGTATCCTTTTACTTGTCCCAATGTCTCCTGAGTCTTTTTTATTAGTTTATTTAAGTCTATGAAATTACTAGACTGGGGTGGAGCTGTCTGGCACCTGGTGATGAGTTGCATCACTCCACTGGCGATAAGAAGCTAATTCTTCTGGCTGTTTTTTTCTTTTGTTTTTTTTTCTTAAAGCTTCGCCTAGGCGTTACTTGTGGGCACGCTTCGGTTATCTTGTTGGCTGGTGGGCTGTTTAAGGGCTGTAGTGGTGGTTTGGTCCTCGGGGAGGCTGGCGAGTCGGCAAAGGCGCACGCCTGATCGCTCGCTGCGGGCGGGGACAGAGGGGAGATGGGCGGGAGGGGAAGGGAGCTGGGAGGGTAATGGTATAGCAGGCAGAGAGGGTGTGGAGCGGGGTTCCTGGGTAGAGGCAGAAGGCATTCTGATAGAGGGAGGAGATGCGAATGGGAGAGCTTGATAGGAGGATTGGCCAAGGGCGGGGGGAGGGGCGGCGGGAGTTGATGGGGGGAAGGGGGGCTGGTGTGACGTTTGCTGCCTCATTGGATTCTTGCTTCTGCCTTATTATTTTGTTTAATGTTGCCTATTGTTCGGAGAACATTCCGATTAACAAATCAATTTTGTTTTCTATCAAACTTTCGTTGTAGAAGGAAGGTACTTGGTGTGTTTGTGTTTCTTAACTTTTAGGCTTTTGGAAGAATTTAACAAAAGGAGTAGAAATGCCTTTTTTCGGTGGCGTCCAGTCCGTGGTTCCCCATATTCAATCTGTATTTATTTAATTCTTTCCCTTCATTCTTATTCTTATCATCCAGAACAGGTACGATTAATACAAACTTCTTGCTTTCGCAGGGTGGACCCCCCTCCACTTCGCCGCGAGAGAGGGCCACGAAGCCCTGGTGGAGGCGCTGGTGAGGAGGGGCGGCGACCCCAACAGCAGGGACGCGTGGGGTGAGGCCGCCGGCTCCTCCTTGTCTTCATCTCTACCTTCATCTTATTAATCCCTGTGTCTGTCTGTCTCCACCTGTTTCTTTGTCTGTTTGTCTTTCTGTCTCTCTCTCTCTTTCTCTTTGTCTCTCTGTCTGTCTGTCTATCTCTGTGTGTCTTTGTCTGTCTGTCTGTGTTTCTCTTTGTCCGTCTGTCTCTTTGTCTGTCTCTTTGTCTGTCTCTTTGTCTGTCTCTTTGTCTGTCTCTTTGTCTGTCTCTTTGTCTGTCTGTCTGTCTGTCTCTTTGTCTGTCTGTCTGTCTGTCTGTATGTCTCTTTGTCTGTCTGTCTGTCTGTCTCTTTGTCTGTCTGTCTGTCTGTCTGTCTGTCTCTTTGTCTGTCTGTCTGTCTGTCTGTCTGTCTCTTTGTCTGTCTGTCTGTCTGTCTCTTTGTCTGTCTGTCTGTCTGTCTCTTTGTCTGTCTGTCTGTCTGTCTCTTTGTCTGTCTGTCTGTCTGTCTGTCTGTCTGTCTCTTTGTCTGTCTGTCTGTCTGTCTCTTTGTCTGTCTGTCTGTCTGTCTCTTTGTCTGTCTGTCTGTCTGTCTCTTTGTCTGTCTCTTTGTCTGTCTGTCTGTCTGTCTCTTTGTCTGTCTGTCTGTCTGTCTCTTTGTCTGTCTGTCTGTCTGTCTCTTTGTCTGTCTGTCTGTCTGTCTCTTTGTCTGTCTGTCTGTCTGTCTCTTTGTCTGTCTGTCTGTCTGTCTCTTTGTCTGTCTGTCTGTCTGTCTCTCTGTCTGTATGTCTGTCTGTCTCTCTATCTGTATGTCTGTCTGTCTCTCTATCTGTATGTCTGTCTGTCTCTCTATCTGTATGTCTGTCTGTCTCTCTATCTGTATGTCTGTCTGTCTCTCTATCTGTATGTCTGTCTGTCTCTCTATCTGTCTGTCTGTCTGTCTCTCTATCTGTATGTCTGTCTGTCTGTCTCTCTATCTGTATGTCTGTCTGTCTGTCTCTCTATCTGTATGTCTGTCTGTCTGTCTCTCTATCTGTATGTCTGTCTGTCTGTCTCTCTATCTGTATGTCTGTCTGTCTGTCTCTCTATCTGTATGTCTGTCTGTCTCTCTATCTGTATGTCTGTCTGTCTCTCTATCTGTATGTATGTCTGTAAGGATATTGTTATTAAGTCAGATCTTAATTAGTAGTTATCCTTGGTTCTTGGACGTTCTCTGTATGATATATTACAGGAATATATGTATGGTTGGGTAGGTTGTGATTCAGTAAAAAAAATATAAACCTTTACCATTTATTTATACTTAAAAAATATTGATTATAAACACACACAAACAATGTACAATGTCGCTTCGCAATCCCTCGCGTTCATGTTCACTTCCCTACAATTCACTTCACTTTCTCACTCGATATCACTATTCTTATTCACTTATTTTTAGCACAGACGTCCATAGTTGTTTATTAACACTTTTCAATTCACAACTGAAGCTGCAGGATTCCACCCGTCTATCTCCGTCTCTGCTTCCGTCTGTTTGCGTCTCTGTCTGTCTCTGGGCATTTGTTTTCTCTGACTTTAGCCTTTAGGGAAGGACATTACACGATTAATATTAAATACAAATTAACAACAAAAATACGCTTATCGATCTCAATGCGTCAAGTCCGCATTATATTCTAAATTAAATTACAATAAAAATAAAAACTCTAATCACCTTTAGGGGTAGTCAGTTTACCGACTGATGGGAAAAATACGCCGTTACTGCTGCTATGACCTTCACACAAGCGCCACCAGTTCAGCTATCCTAGGCCTATTTTCGCTCAATCACCTCGTCACCTCTCACGCGCGCTTTTTACACCACACACACACATACGCACACACATGCAAACAACCACAAGCAGGTCGTCAAGCTTAAACTGTGATTGTGTGCCTGACACTGTCTTTTTCTTTGTCTGTCTGTCTATCTGTCTGTCTCTTTGTCTGTCTGTCGGTCTCTTTGTCTGTCTGTCTATCTCTGTTTCTTTGTCTGTATGTCTACCTCTTTGTCTGTCTATCTCTGTCTCTTTGTCTGTCTGTCTGTCCGTCTCTCTCTCTCTATCTCTCTCTCTCTCTCTCTCTCTCTCTCTCTCTCTCTCTCTCTCTCTCTCTCTCTCTCTCTCTCTCTCTCTCCTCTCTCTCTCTCTCTCTCTCTGTCTCTCTCTCTCTCTCTCTCTTTCTTTCTTTGTGTGTGTCTATCTCTGTCTGTCTGTCAGTCTGTCTGTCTGTCTATCTGTCTGTCTGTCTCTTTGTCTCTGTGTCTGTCTGTTCGTCTGTCTGCCTCTGTCTGTTTCTTTGTCTTCCTGTCTGTCTCTTTGTCTGTCTGTCTATCTGTCTGTCTGCCTCTTTGTCAGTCTATCTGTCTCTTTGTCTGTCGGTCTATCTCTGTCTCTTTGTCTCTCTGTCTGTCCGTCTATCTGTCTGTCTCTTTGTCTGTCTGTCTGTCTGTCTCTCTTTCTCTCTCTCTCTCTCTCTCTGTATGTGTGTGTGCCTGTCTGTCTGTCTGTATGTCTCTATTTGTCTGTCTCTATCTATTTCTTTGTCTGTCTGTCTATATGTCTGTCTGTCTGTCTCTTTGTCTGTATGTCTGTCTGCCTCTTTGTCTGTCTGTCTGTCTGTCTATCTCTGTCTCTTTGTCCTTTGTCTCTCTCTCTCTCTCTCTCTCTTTGTGTCTGTGTGTGTGTCTATCTCTGTCTATCTGTCTGTCTGTCTATCTGTTTGTTTGTCTGTCTGTCGGTCTATCTGTTTGTTTGTCTGTCTGTCTGTCTCTATCTATCTATTTCTTTGTCTGTCTCTTTGTCTTTGTCTCCCCCCCCCCTCTCTCTCTCTCTCTCTCCCCCCCTCTCTCTCTCTCTCTTTCTCCCTATCTCTCTCTCTCTCTCTCTCTCTCTCTCTCTCTCTCTCTCTCTCTCTCTCTCTCTCTCTCTCTCTCTCTCTCTCTCTCTCTCTCTCTCTCTCACTCTCTCTCTCTCTTTCTCTTTGTCTCCCCCCCCCTCTTTCTCTTTCTCTCTCTCTCTCTCTCTCTCTCTCTCTCTCTCTCTCTCTCTCTCTCTCTCTCTCTCTCTCTCTCTCTCTCTGTATGTGTGTGTCAGCAAAGGTGCTGTTGATCGCTTCACCTGTGATAATCTCCAGGCAGGACGCCAATGCACGTGGCGGCCGTTAGCGGACAGGCGTCGATGCTGGAAGCTCTCTGTTGCTGCGAGGCGAAAGTGAACGCCGAGGACTCCGAATGCGACACGCCCCTCCACAAAGCAGCTTCACAAGGGAAGCGTCCCGCTGTGGTCACACTCCTGGCGCTCGGGGCCTCCGTTTACAAGAAGAACAAGGAAGGAAGGACAGCGAAGGACCTAATGGGGATCACCTCCGCTCGGGAGTTCTTCTCCATGGTATACACGCCCGGAATGAAAACTAATAGTTCTTACTCATTAAATGTTCTGGCTCTGTCCTAGACCTCCTGGTTGTTGAATTGTTAGCATTACTTAATACACAAGAAAAAAATAATTACTTCGATGAATACATATCTAATGAAACACGAAGCTAAAATGAATTAAATCAGGTTACTTTTAGGGTAGGGTACTGGCTGCAGTCGGGAAGGAGAGGACGAAAAAGTTACAGGTTAGTTTTTTGTATACAGAAAGTATATACACATAGAGATCAAATGCAATAATGAAAAAGTGATACACATGTAGATGGTGAAGTTAAAGCTGAAATAGTAAAGTTCATATACACACACACACACACATATATATATATATATATATATATATATATATATATATATATATATATATATATATATATATATATATACATACATATATATATATATATATATATATATATATATATATATATATATATATATATATATATAAAATTATCTGGGTTATTTAAAAAAATGTATGAAATTAAATAAAATGTATGTAGAATATATATATATATATATATATATATATATATATATATATATATATATATATATATATATATATATGTATATATATAATTATCTGGGTTATTCAAAAAATGTATGAAATTAAATAAAATGTATGTAGAATATATATATATATATATATATATATATATATATATATATATATATATATATATATATATATATATATATATATATATATATATATATACATATATATATATATATATATATATATATATATATATATATATATATATATATATATATATATATATATATATATGTTTATATAAATATACACAAATATGTATATCTATATATATTTATATTAAATTATCTGGGTTATTTAAAAAATGTATGAAATTAAATAAAATGTATGTAGAATATATATATATATATATATATATATATATATATATATATATATATATATATATATATATATATATATACATATATGCATATTATATATATTACATACATAAACATATATATATATTATGTATTATATATATTATATATAAATATATATATAAATCTCAGAAACACATAAAGGGGAATATTTTTCTGTAGATATGTATAGGTATATATATATATATATATATATATATATATATATATTTATATATATATATATATATATATATATATATATATATATATATATATATATATATATATATATATATATATATATACATATATATGTATATACATATACATATACATATATATATGTATATATCTACATATCTACACAAAAAACACCTGTGACATGCCTGACGGTCGTTTTCTCTTGCAGGAGGAACACGAGTATCAAGTCTCGGAGATGAACGAGAAGTTTACCGCCAAAGAGACGGAGGCAACCTGTCTGCAGAAGGAGGCCAGAGACCTGAGAGAAAACATCAGGAAAAAAGATGAGGAGATCAGATTGCTAAAGGTTCGTGCGTGAGAAAGGGAAAGGAAGAGGAATAGCGGGGAAGAGAGAAGAAAAGGGAAAAACGTTTATGCGAGAATAGTAGCGAGAAAGAGAAAAAGAAAAGACATAAAAAGGGGAAGAGTGAGGAGCCACAGATAGCAATATATATTTTCAAAAGCTTCAATGAAGTAAACGTCTTGAAGTAACGTAACAGGCAGATCTTACAGCAGTATGATATCAGACGTGTACCTTAGTACAGTATGTCATAGAATATAATGTTTACATGTTTATTTTCCCTTAAATGTCAAAGAACGGAGTGCATCGATAATGCAAAAGTTTGTGATTGAAGAGAGAAAGAGGTAAATCTCAGTGCAAACCAGTGTGAAAGTCTGAAAGCTGTGTATTTTCTTGATAATTTTATGTCTTCTAAAGTAGAATTATTAGTTATATGACTCCCATTGTCTGCCTCTGCTGGTAATGTTTCTCCGTAGCTCATGGCTACAGGAACATTCGTAACGCGTATCATTTTCCTCTGCAGGAAAAACACGAGGAGCGAGTGTGGGACATGAATAGGAAGTATTACGCGAAGGAGACGGAGGCGGCCGATCTGCAGAAGGAAAACAGAGTCCTGAGGGGATGCCTCGAAGAAAAAAAGAAGCAGATGGGATTGCTAAAGGTTCGTGCAAGAGAGAGTGATAGGAGAGACGAGCGAAATACGGAGAAGAGTTTGTGAAAGAGAGAAGAAAAAAGAAAAACGTGAATGGGAGAGTATGGGGAACTAGAGAATGTAGGAGAGGAGATGTGAAGATGTGAAGCAGTTTTGAGTTTCTAGAAAATGATCCTTTTTCATTAGTTTTCGCAAAAGGAAAGAAACCTTAATACCTTAAACTTCTATTCTATTCTTTATTCTAAGGCGAGATCACGTGGAGTTCGCCCGATTGGATGGTAGATAAGGTTCTCTGCTCTTTGTTTTAGGGACAGACTGCATAGACGGAGAGTGACGGACGATAGGGGAAAGACCGATTATTTTTATATATAGAGGAAGTAAAAGTATATCTGGATCACTCTTATTTACTTGTAAGATTTTTATTTTTTATTGTTTTGTATTGAATTCCCCCGTTATATCTTGTATGTTTGACTCCCAAATAATTAACTGATGATTATTGTTTCTACCGAAATGAATATTTTTATCCAGCTATCTCTATCCATCTGTCTGTCTGTATGTCTCTAGTTCTGTTTTTCATTCGTTCGTTCATTCATTCATTCTTTCTTTCTTTCTTTCTTTCTTTATGTATGGTTATTAGTTACACTCTATCTATCAAACAGATAGTGTGTAACTCTCAAAAGGTATTTTCCTCGGGTTATGACCACATATACCTAACGTGCATTGCCTTCAGGATGAAGTGTGGGACGTAAGCGGAGAATATGAAGCGAAGGAGGCCGAGGCATATGATCTGCGGATGGAAAACAAAGACCTGAAGAAAAAGCTAA